TTCTTTTTTTACCTGGACATATACACACACACAAAATCTGTGTTTTGTCTTCTACTTTTAATACCTTCCCTATTCTGCCACCATGTCTAATAAGAGAATGTGTAAAGGTTCCTTATTTAATCTTTTATTGTCTGCTCTTCATCCTTTCCAATACATTCCTCATTTTACATGTCTTGTTTTTTTTCAAAAACATGGCTCTAGTTTACAACCTACCACACATTTTATGAAGAACAAGAAGAGAGCAGTTTAATGGCCTTGATCATACATAAGTAATAAGGAGACTGAAATGCTGATTGCCATTGTATGGTCATTGTACATTATATACCCCTATTGAATTATCACACTATACTTCATAAACATGTAATTATTAAGCTGATTGAAAGAAAAAGAAAAATTAATAAGATAATATAAATGCTGACACATATCCCCAGACTTTACAATAGAAAAGAACATTTTTGGAAAGTGTGAAGAAGCAAAGACAAGATAGAATAAAAATAAGAGCATTAGCTTTTGCTGCATTACCAAGACATAAATACAATTACTATTTTACATATATTTTCACATTACCATATGCTGCTTTACATATTGAATATGATTACTTTTAAACAAAATGAAATATAAATGCATGCTAATTGATCATCTGCTTTTTCTTAGCCATGTATTGGGACATATTTGCATGTCAGTAAATGCATATTACTCTTTTTAAAAACAATTTTAAATGCTCCTCAGCTCCTGTATTTTTTTATCTGTGCCCTCTCTAGATTTATTAATCATGTCTTGCACTATGGGCACAATCTTTGCTGTTATGTGAGAAATTATTTCTGATCTCATTTTTTTCAGATCCTCTTTCGTTGCTAGTTCAGGTTGCCCAGGTTGAGTATCAGAGTGTTCCATCTCATTTCCCTTTGAGGGTGCTGTAGATGATCTGGAAGTCTGTCTCTGAGGCTTGTTTATGTGTCTTCTCATTTCGACAGGAGGTGGGGGTCGGGGGTGGGGGGTGTGTGTGCTGCTAGCACTCACGTGGCTCACCTCCTCTGTTCTGGGAGCTATGGCACGCCTACCCGGAAGCCTCCTCTGTGCTGGGAGCTGTGGCACACTGACCTGGAAGTCTCCTCAGTGCTGGGAGCTGTGGCAGGCCTACCCAGAAGCCTCCTCTGTACTGGACCTCAAATCTTATTATTTAAAAAATGCATTTGGTAAGGTGATAGCTGCCTTAGACAGTGACTCCTGATGGGTCAATTCCATCAACAGAAGCCATCAACATCAATGCAAGATCCTCCACAAGCAAAAAGGTTATCATTTGTTGAAGGCTCAGATGATCATTGGCATTTTCAAGCAATAAGTTATTTTAATTAAATTGTGTACATTTTTTAGACATAATACCATTGCACATTTAATAGACTACAGTACAGTATAAACATAACTTTCATATGCACTGAAAAAACCAAAAATCCATGTGACTTGTTTTATTGTAATATTCACTCCATGACAGTATTCTGGGACCAAACCTGTACTATCTTTAAGCAAACACTTGTACTTTTTTTTTTTTTTTTTTGGTACCAGGGGTCAAACTCAGGACCTTGTGCTTGCCAGGCAGGCAGTGGAACCACTGAGCTAAATCCCCAGCCCAAACACCTGTACTTTTAAAATACAGTCAACCCTCAAGTTATGACTGGCCCAACATGCGAACAACTTGGATTACGACCAGAATTGTAGTGTTTTTTTAAAAAATAAATTTTATTTTATTTTATCCCATTCTCCCCCTCAGCCCCCTCCCTATGTACGAAAGCTTTGTTTCTGTTTTTTCCTTCTATTTTCACTTTTTTTCTTGTCCCTTCCTTCCTCCCTCCCTTCTCCCTTGATCCCTTTCCCTCGAACACTTTCTTCTCATTTCCCATCATCCATTTTATATTTCAGTCCTTATTTTCCACTTTTGGTTTCTCACACCAGAGAAATAATGTGACATTTAAACATATGTATCTGATTTACTTCACTTAAGATTATGGTCTCAAGGTCCATCCATTTAGCTATAAATGTCTGAAGCTCATACTTCTTATGCCAGAGTAGTACTCCATTGTATAAAAAAACACATTTTCTTTATCCACTTGTCTGTTGATGGGCATTTGGGCTATTTCCAAAATTTAGCCGTTACAAACTATGCCACTATAAACATGTGTGTGTATATATCACTGTGGTATGATACTTTTAATTCTTTCTGGAATTTTAGTTTTAACTTATGACTAAAGTCTTGAGTTACAACCCAAATGCTGGCTGCTTGTGCTTCCAGATGGTCTCAGTACAGATTTAACACTTGTAGATTTCTAGAAGAAACATTACAACATCCTTTCTTGTGTAAGGTAAATTGAGAAATCCTGGGCCAATGTCTCTGTAAGGACACTGAGATCTGACTGGAAGAAAGTATGACCTAAAATTTTACAGGAAAAATAAAAAATAAAAAAAAATAAAATTTTACAGGAAGGCAATTGAACAACTTGAGTTGTAACCAGCCCTTGGGAATGAGTTGAGTTTGTAAGTCAAGGGTCCACTGTAGGTCCCTGAGTTTAACTACTGTAGAGGGTGGCTGCGGAAAGGGAAGGTGGCCAAATGGTCCACTGACCATT